CAACCTCCCAGCTGCTTTCTATAAAGATGGCTCCCTCATCAGGACTGAGCCCAAAGGTCACATGACCCTCCACAATATGACCAGCTCTGATGAAGGCCTCTACAGGTGTTACATCAGGGGTCATGGAGAGTCTCCATCCAGCTGGATCTCTGTTAAAGGTCAGCAGTTTCTCTAACCTTCATTATGAAATAAAAACATTTTTTTTTCCTTCCAGAGAAACCCACCACTGCTCCTCCACCGGCACCCAATGGAGTGTAGATTAGTATGACAGAAGAAAACTCTTAATGTTTCATTTTATTTTTTTGTAAATTGCAAAATGTTTGATTCAAGGTCAGTTCATATCAGGAGATTTTATTTCCATTAAGACTGATTATTTCAAATAATCATAAGGCTGCAGGGCGACTTGCAGCAGTTTAAGCCAAGCTGATCCATTATGTGAACTTTAGGGAACTTGAATAAAAAGACCCGTAGAAATGTTTAGAAATCAGCTCCAGATGTTTTTCAGAAATCACATGATGTGAGTTGATTGGTTAGGATTCTCCCAGACACACCGATACTAAGACTCTCATGAAAAACGCCTTTGAATAGATGAATAGATGGAAAACTGAGACAGAAAAACAAACATCTCTGTGTTTTAAGATCAGCATCCTGCTTAGTGGCGTCCCTTTTTCTGGATCCTTACATAGTCCAACATGTTTTTATCCAAGATGTCTGCTTTTAATTACTTTCATGAATCACAGATCTGTTTTTAACTATGAAGATGAGGCTTTTTTCTACATATTCATCCTTTGCTCAGCGACAAACCCAGCTGGAGTTTCAAGTACTGAAAAATGTAGTTCTAAAGGGAACAGTCATATTTGATGTCTTTAAATAAAATAAACAAATATATGCCAAGTGTTCATCACAATAGTGTTATTTTTTTAAATGAAACATGTTTGCATCTTAGCAACAATCAACATAAACCTTACTGTACTATGTATTATCTGCTGGCAGGATGTGTCCATTAACTCACCAGCTTCAGAGGCCTTAGCCATATTGTATTCCAAGCGTTACTCGTGTTGATCGCCTTTTTGATGTCAAATAATCTAATATTTCACAGTCTATCTTGGATGTTTCCTCTTTTTTCTCAGATTTCCACTGGGAGTTTTTAAGCTCCATTACGTCCCTCTTTACTTTTTACATGCATCTATATCACATTGTCTTATTTTGGTAAAGAAATAAAAAACTTTGTTTACTGTGTACCTGTTTACTAATAGAAAAGTGTAAAAAAGCAGCACAGAAATGTAATCAGTCAAAATACAGTAGAACCCTAATATAATCAAAATCCATCTATATACCAGAGTGTTCATACACTAGAGCAGGAGTCTTCAACGTTTTCCAGGCCAAGGATCCCCAAACTAATGGCGAGATGGAGCGGGGCCCCCTTATTATATATATTGTAAGAAATTGTGTTATGTCAAACTGGTCCTATAGTCACTCTATTTGATATGAAGTCATGTAACGAAAGTAATTTCTCCCTGGGATTATTAAAGTATTTCTGATTCTGATTCCTGGTTGATGGGACAGGTGTTTTGAATGAAACGGTGCCCAGCTTGAAAGAGATCCTGTGTGTCGCTGAATGTGTGTTGGGATCTGGAGATCTGCCACCTCTCTCCAGCAGAGACCGCCCTGG